AACTCCAGCTTCAATTAAAGGAACGAAAAATTGTAGCGTTGTCGGGGGGAGTGTTTTTTTATGATGTGCAAAATCAATAAAAAGGCCACGGAGAGGGCACTAGAAATGCAGCCCTGTGCTCCTGAGGACTGCTGATGGCACAGCTGGCATGCAATAAGAATGGAAATACAAAATGCAGTGCTGTGTGCACGGCAGGGCTACGATGGAAGTTCAAGTGCTGGGGGAGGAAAAGCGTTTGTTGTATCCGTAAGATTCAAGGTGGCCCAAATGCAGTGGGGTGAATAGGTCTATATTTATTCCATAATACGAACAGCATGTTGCCAGGGAGCCAGGTAACAGAAAGCAGAGCAGGGCAGAGGTATTAACCAACAGGTTTAACCCAGCAAATGCTATTTCAAAGGTGCCCTGTGGTCCCACTACACTCTAAGCTGAGCTTGGGACCAAAGCAAGTTCCTTGTTGTACTTACAGTTCATTCACCAGGGTGCTGCAGCTGGAGTAATTCTGCCCAGATGTGCTGAGCATGGTCAGCACATGACAGTCAGAGCAGAGGAATAACTTACTCAAGGCTTGTTGCTTCTTTCCAGCTCAGTAACCGCTTGCAGCTAATGATTTCTTGGAATTTGGTACCTTGCATTCTTGGCTAATACTTCTGACGATAGTGTTTGGTCAGGAGACTGGGAACAAGCATTGTTTTAGAAGCACGTGAAATTCCAGCTGTGCTACTCTGGACTGGAGACATGGGGCATGCAGTTTGGTTCATTAGGCTGCTGCTGTCAGACAGTGTTTCAGAGTGGCACTGTTTTCCCAATGCTTATGCAGAGAGGATGGGTCCCCCTGGCACTGTGTACGGTGCCATGACAGCACCACATGAAAAACAAAGCAAAACCAACCACAGACCTGGGCAGGAAATGGTCTGGCTGCCAGGCAAAAAATGTCATGACACATAGCTCCCCACCCCAGTCCCAAACACTTCGCTTTTCCTGCCTGGAATCAAGACGAAAGGTCCAATATTGAAAATGTTCATGACCTAGAAGTCCAAAGGCACACACAGCTCAGGTCACCAAAACCTTTTGTTCACATCTCAACAGCATCACCTTGTTGTTTTGTGGGTTTTTTGCCATAACGAATTTCAATTTCAAAATGACAACTTACTGGAAAACTGGCGCGTTTCATCTCAAAACCACTGCAGTGAAACGTTTTGGCAACTCCAAAGTTTTTCTCCACATTTCTTTGTCATGTTGGAAAATTAATTGCACCCCCCAGAAAGCTTCTGGAAGTGTTGGTGAGTTTCTGCCCACTCTGATGCATGACTTGACCACACTTAACCCCATTACCCTGCCCGTTCTCCTCCCAGAGCTGGGCAATGCGGCTGCTCCTTGCATCCAGCCAGATGGGGAGGGAAGGGCGCGAGACCCTGCACTGGCACTGCTCCATGAGGACCCAGCCAGCAGAAAGATGCAGGGGAACAAGCAGACCTCTGCGTGCCCTCACTGATGAAGAAAATCCCTCCCAGGTGCTGCCACGGTGCCCACACGGTACCTGTTTGGAACCAGCCGTCCGGGGTGAAAGCAGCTTTGGTTTCTGCAGGCCGGTTCCAGTATTCACGAAACACCGTCGGCCCCTTCACCAAGAGCTCCCCTTCCTTGTCTTCGAGGCCGGGGGTCACCTGGGACAAACAAAGAATAAAGGTTTCCTGAGTATCAAGGATTTGTGCCTCTATCACTGTGTGCCCCTGGATTCCCTCTGAAGGCAGGGACGGCCCCCTCCTGCCTTCTGAGAACCGCTCGGTAAATCGTGGTGCTCCCCATCCACCTGCTGTGCCTCTTGCTTCATGCAAGAAGAAGGGACTAAGAACAGAAAGCAGAGCCATCCTGAGTCAGGCCAACAGCCCATCTTGCCCTGTATCCTGGCTCCAACACTGGCAGTAGCAGATAATACAAGTGACTGGTGAGGAGAGGCTGAGGGAACTGGGCTGACTGAGTCTGCAGAAGAGAAGACCGAGGGGGATTGAATAGCAGCCTTCACCTCCCTGCAGTGGGGCTGCAACGAGGATGGAGCTGGACCGTTCTCGGTGGGGACAGATGACAGGACAAGGAGCAATGGGCTCCAGTTGCAGCAAGGGAGCTTGAGTTTGGATATTAGGATAAATACCCTCACTAGGAGGGGGGTGACGCACTGCAACGGGTTACCCGGAGAGGTGGTGGAGTCTCCATCCTTGGAGATTGTTAAGACACGGGTAGACAAAGCCTTGGCTGGGGCTGGCATGATGTAGTTGGGGCTGGTCTTGCTTTGAGCAGGGGTTGGACTAGATGTGACCCTCATTTTCTCTGATTCTATAATCCAGAGGCAGAGCGTGCGAACGGGACACGTCCAGAGTGATCTCCCCACCTGACAAACAAGAAGTTCTGAGATTGCATAAAGCACCACCTGGGAAGGCATCAGCAATGTATTTACAGAGGTCCCGAGACCCATGAACTGCCAAATTGGTGCATCCAGCCTGGCATCCCAGCCCCACGAGCGGCCCAGGGGATCTCCTTCCGGAGACGACAAAATACCCCTGTAATGCTGCAGGGTGAATACAGCCTCGTGGGAAGGGTGAGTCCCTTTCTCCCTGCAGGACGAGGAGGACAGCCCTTGCACCTAATGCAAGGCCGGCATTTTTCCCTCCCAAGTTCTGAAGTGCTTTAGTCTTGCTAAGCTATTTGCCTCAACCGTGCCCCCCAGCAGCCGGTGCTACAGGTTCAATTATACTGTAAACTGCATCCGAAATGCGATTTCTTTTTAATTCTGTGACTCAGAAAACTCAAATGCCACCAACAAAACCTCTCCTGAGTGCCAGAAATCTCTGCACCAGGGCCAGCCAAGATGCGTTCAACTCCCCCGGGTTGACGGCATCTCACCTGGGACCCTGTATCGCGGGCCCCGATGCCCCTGTGTTCTGTGCCTTGGGTGCCCTTGGGATCACTGTGCACAGTGCGGCTTTTATCCGGTTGTGCAGCTGCCCTTCCTGGCCCAGCCTTCTTGTTGAGCGGGGACCAGGGCAGGCGCAGCGCAGTGGCACTGTGGTATCATCTGGGGAAATCCTTCCAAACATAAGCACTGGAGCGCCTTCCCCATCCGGGGCTGCAGGTAGGAATGGAGGGGGCAGGAGGGGATTCCCTGGCCACGCTGGAAGCCTGTTGCATGGACAGATCTGATGCACGGCTCTCAAGTGATCCTTTCCGATGCATCCAGGATTGCTGTGAACAGACCAGGCTCCGGAGAAAGCCGCACTGGTCTCTCCGCGCTGGCACAGCTGCCCAACAGGGAGCTTCTGAAAAGGGCTGGGGAGATAAAGATGACTGGAGAGGGAGGGTTGTGGAGGATACCAACTAAACATCCTGACCCACAGACAGACCGTGCTGGCTGATGCCCTCTGGGGCTGCGTGCCTAGCTGGAACTGCAGCCAGCTTTTCAGGGATAATGTTGTGGGCTGGCAGATGCCTCAGCCTTTGAAATAACAGCTGTGGAGGACCACGGAGGGCAGATGTCCCACTTGGCACTGCCAGCAACCCGCGCCTGGCTTGGGAACAAAGTGTGCCCCCGCTCTCCCAGTGGGACACAGAGGAGCCCCCTCTCTAAGCCAACCGAAGGGAAGGCAGAGCGGTTGCACCCCTGGTGAAAAGCCAGGCAATGCTCAATCTCAGGACAAATGCAGGTAGTGCGCAGCGGGACCCTGGGTTTAATTCACCGGATCAAAGCTGCCGATAGACCTGTGTGCTGAAGGAAAATAAAGCAAGAAGACAACCACAGCTTCTTAAGGCGCAGCAAGCAGCCAGAGGGCCTTTCAGCTCGCTTTTGCAAGCACAGCTGGCTTGCCGGACTAAAACTCACTGCCACACGGCCCTGGCTGGGGAATAAGCAGCATAAATCTCTCCAGTGTGGCTGGCCAGGCTCTGCTGGCAACCTCAGGGGGGCAGAAATAGACCCCTAGTACCTTTCTGCCCACCCAGGGTCCCTTCCAGGTGAGGCAGGTGCCTGGGGGAGAGCAGGCAGACGGGGGGGACACACACTACTGCTGCATGGCAAATGCAGAGGGACCACCTCCCTTCCCAGATTGGTCAATCCATTCTTTTTTAATGAAGGGACCCTGGATTTATTCCAGAAACAATGCAGCCTCCCGGCTGTTATCGTCAAGAAGGGAAGGGCAACGGTGACATTTCTTCCTTCTGCGACCTGCGTGGACAAGCTCTCATTTAGCACCAAGGAGCAGACAGGAAATCTGCAGCGGCAGGAGATGGGGCCTTGGTCAGACCCAGGGCAGTAACCTGTCTGCTCTTTAGCAGGCTGTCATTTCAGAACTGCGAGGACGCCAGTAGATAAAGGCTAAAGGTATGTGAAGGTGCAACTGGAGCACAGGCTAACAGATCCGTGCACAGTGCTAGCACTGCTAACAAGAGCAACAAAGACGTGAAAAATGCAGCGACGGCAGCTCTTGTGGGTTCTGCTCATATACCGTCCACTCGGAACAGGTCTCTAGCAGCTCCCAGGACTAGTATGGATAAGGCACAACAAAGCTGGAAGCACAGCTGGAAGCGATGCAGTATCCAGCATCACATCTGGCAGCCTTTGACTCCCCAGTCCGGAAGACCCAGTGCCCATTTACAGCTGAAGGCAGCCCCGGCATGAGTGCAGAAAGTTCACGCTCATGCCTCAGCAACCATAGGGTGATGACTAAATGGATTTAACACATCCCTTAGGCCACCCGTGAGAACCCTCTCAATGAACAGCCAGGAAGGAGAGATTTCAGGTCACGGGTATTTCTCATGCTACCTTGAGCTAACAGCGATTAGTTTGGGAACTCCATGCACAAGCCTGTGTGTCATGGGCTTCAACTATCCAAGGTCCCTGAAGAAGTGAACTGCAAGCTGGGATGAGGGCTGGTCCTGCTTTGAGCAGGGGATTGGACTAGATGTGACCTCCTGAGGTCCCCTCCAACCTGAATTTTCTGTGACTCTATAAGCCAGAAGACCTGTGAGCTGGAGCTCTGGGAAAGGGTGTGCAAGTAGCTTTGGTGCCTCTGGGGGAGGTGGCGAGAGGGGTTTGGTACTGGTCTGAGGGGCCTGGGACAGCCAGGCCATGAGCTCCCATATCACGAGAGGTAACAGGCAGAGAAGGCAAGGGGAGGTGCGCTGTTGGAGTCTGAGCAGACCATGGGACCCCAACACAGCAACCCAGTGGGCATGTCTACATGTGCATTTACTGTGCAGTAAGTCACTGCACAGTGAGCGGTTATTAGACCGGCATCTACACGTGTAGGTGCTACCGAGCAGTAACACTGTGTGCTCTGACCTGGGAGTAAAGTTATTCCCAAGTCGGAGCGCGCACACAGTGTTACTGCACAGTAAGGTGTCTACATGTGCCTTACTGCGCAGTAACTACTTGGGAGTAAATTTGCTACCTGCAAACTGACTAGGTGGCAAATTTACTCCCAAGTTAGTGTAAGTCGCCATAGCTACTGTGCAGTACAGGTGCACGTGTGTAGATGCACGCCTGTACTGCCAAGTTTTTAATTTTCAGTTATGCACGTGTAGGCGTGCCCAGTGAGTGTCCAGCTGGTGGGGCTTGGCCAGGGATATGGCAGATGTCATGGGCAGGTCGATGACGAAGTCTCTTTTTATCACTCTGTTTTCCTCCCATAAGCGACTCAGTGATGTTGCCCGGAGGAGGACATCTTCCATTCCCTGTCCTAGGCTCCAACCATTAAACGACACAGCTCCTATCCTGCCAACAGAGCATTTCTTTGACTCTAAAACTCCAGCAATGCTTAGGCTACCGTAAAACGATCCCGAATTTCCATGTTCCTTTTATCGACAGTCATAAAAGTCCTGCGCAGACCTCTCGCCGTGCCCTCCAAGGCCAGGTGAACAATCCAGGGCAGGATTCACCTGCCCTCGCCTGTGCCTTGTGTGAATCGAGCTTTGAACAGGCTCCAAATTTCTTGTCATATCAACTCCAATTCTGGCACCGGCTCAACCCACATCTTATCTAGAGCAGAGCTCCCTGGCAGCAGGCACCTCCCCGTCGTGTAATGTAATGATGTTATGGCTGGCTTGCAAACAGTAAAACAGAAAGGCCGTGACGTTATCTTAATAGGATTTTGCTTGCTGAACTCCGGATGTCACTGGCACTGCTCCCTGGCGTCCAAAGCGCATGCAAACCACTTCAGCGCCAGCAGCTCGCGGTGCTTGAAGGCAGCATAAATTAAAATTCAGGGTTCGAGGCACATCTCTGCTACAGCCTCTGATGCTTTCCCAAATGTAGGCGCACACCAGGCTAGCACCGCGCTACATGTTTCCAGCACGAGGCTTGCGCTGCAGCGCTGTGCAGCTCTCCCGCTCCTCCCTCTGTCAAATCTCCAAGGGATCCTTTGTTGATACACCAGATCTAAGTTACAAGCAGCTGTTGAAAGCATCAGATTGCTAATTGCACCGATATCCTATTCTCCAAGTGCCGCGTTTTTAATGCACGTTTCCCCTGCTTTAATGCATTCAAGCCGCGGTAATGAGCAGACACTGCGTGCCCGGGGAAGGTGGGTGTTTGATTGCTTTCTGCTGGAACATGGATTCAGCAAGTTGAGCCAGCCCAGCCGGTGCACAAGATAAGATTCCATTTTCCACGCATGAA